CCTATTGGAGTCATGACCTTCCCCTTCGGAACGAAGGTCAAGTTCAAACCAACTCAGGTGTTCCCCTGTCCCCTTCGAAAGGACAGTTCATAGATCCTCTGTTGGACCGAGCAGATACCACATCGCTTGTCTATCCTCTATAGACTTATGGTATACTTTGCCACTATTTTGTCGAAGTCAGTCCTAGAGTTCTTCTATGTAGACATAATTCAAACATTTCATTCATGAATTTGGAAATAATTAACAACCTGGTCAACATATGTGAAATATATCAAATTATATCTCAAATATCAGCCTAGCATTGAATATAACACTCATGCTTACCGTCATGCAACATACAAAGTCTAGGAGTACATCTTCGACGTTCAAAATGGAAACAAACTTTCGACAGCGTTCTTGACGATAGCAATAGCATTCTACTACGTAACGGTAGCATGCTATTGTCTGACGGTAGCGACCTACCGTCAGTCGCAATAACATCCTGTGCGTGTGCACACTCGGAAAAACTCCATTTTTGAGTTTAATTATGCAATAACAAGCTTATATAAACCCTTAAAAACATTTATAAATTATATAAACAACCAATTGCACATACAACGCCTAATCATGCGTTCTACCCGTTTGAATCAGCAATAACCCAAATTTTCCCTAAATCATCAAATTTGCAAATAAATCAACCATACAAGATCATGAAAATAAATTTCAAACATATACGTATAATCTAGCGCTAGATGTCCACTGTGAATTCTTTTGTTGTGCAATAGTACCACTCAGCTTCATTGATGAGCGTGTACACTTTTTCATCTTTCTACACGTTGGTATAAAAGAGAATAAATGTGGACTCCATCCTCGAGGGTAATGAGATGGAGGCGATTCATGGGAGTGCACAAACTTATTATTTGAGTACATAATTTTATCACATGTTAAATTATGGGTTGACCATACTGTTGCAATTTGTAAATCGCTTCCCCCCTGTTTTAAAAAATTATACTCAGATGTTATTCAAAAATTTTTTTACATAGTTGTGTTAAATAAAGTTTTAAATATTTTAAATTGTGATATTACCAAATTAATACTTTAATCCGAAAGAGGCTACAAACCTAGACAGATTAGGGTGTTACAAATTGGACTAGAAACCACCATCAGCCGCCATTGTCCGACAATGATTAGTCGTCGCCAGAGCTGAGGAGTGCCTTTAGCTATGCGTTCGGTCTTCAACCAAAGAGCAGAGAGCTTTTAACATAGAATGTAATCTTCTAGTCCGAGAACCAGGAACCTCCCCTCTGTTCCATTCAATTCGATTGAGCAAGAAGAGCTCCAGCCCAAACTAATACCTTGTCCTCCGTCCCTCTTATGGATGTGAAATCCCTAGCTGTAGCAAGCGCTACTCTGGTCGGGTCAGAGAAGAAAGAGAGTTTGGCTGCATAGGCTTCACTTACTTATAGGGGTGGACACGGTACCGTACCGTGACCGTGACCGGCAATGGTACCACCGGTACCCGCCACCATCACGGCCGGCTGTGGCGTTACACCAGCTCCGAGAACCGGTGCCGGTACCGCCCTCCTCGGTACCGGTTCCAGTGCCTAATTTTCGGTACCGGAACCGGCGGTGCCGGTATCGGTTTTAATTTTTTTGCTTTGCTTTCCCAACGTTCACCTGCAAAAAAAGGAAAAAGTCAGTGGGGGGAACCTCAACGGCTATTTAGCCGTTTGAGGTGGGGGAGGGGAGAGGGGAGGGGGGTAGGGGGGAAAACTACTAAAAATTCTACCATTTTTTCCAAAAAAATCACACTCAATACATCTCTCAATCTCTCAATCTTATTATTATTTTCTCAATTTTTATACAATTTATATTCATATAATAATATTAATATATTACCCAATAACCTATAAATACATTCATTATTCATATTATCAATTATCATACATTTTTTGTTTATTACTAATATTATAATTTTAAAATTTTCGAAATTTAATATATAATTAATTTTTGAAATATATTCTTTAAATAATTTAAATATATAATTAATTTTTTAAATATATTATATTTTTTGAATAATTTATAATTTTCGAAATTTTAATATATAAAATCTCGAAAATTTTTTAAATTTTCAAAATTTAATATATTATGTTTTTAAATATCAATATATATATATATATATATATATATATATATATATATATATGTATATATATATATATATATATATAAATGTCGAGAGAGTTCGGAAAAAGGTCCGTGGATTTGGGCGTCGTGAACCAAAGTTCGAGGGAAGGCAAAGCTAAAGCCACCTTCGACGGTTCGACCTCACGCGGTTCTAAAGGAAGACACTCCATCTCTTCCTTTCCTACTACCCCCGATCAATTCATGGGCGACGCTTTGACGGATCAAGAATTCGACCAGTACATTTCAGGTAGAGGCGACGCAAATCTCGAAACTCTTGAAAGTTTATTCGAGGAGATTGATGAAGCAAAAATTGAATGGGGACGAGGAGCCTACACCGCACAACAACGACGTCGACCAGGAGGCAGGTGAGCCCGAGACCTCTCAAGATTCGGACAAAGGTAAAAAAAATTAAAATCAGATTTATTTGTTTATCGTTTTGAAAAAGATACAAAATATGGCATAGTTTATGGAACTTGTAAATATTGTGCCACCATCATTAAAATGGAAGTTTCCGGTGGTTATGGTGGTCTGGAAAAACACCTAAGGTCGAGACATCCCGTGGAGTACGCCAAATACGCGGCGAAAAAGAAGGGACGACAAGAAGTGCAAACCCAAATTTCTTGGTTTGCTAACAGGGGTAAGGGCGGCCTTTTTGCTTATAGCGACGAGCAAAATAAGCAAAAAATGGCCGAAATGTTTTGTGAAGAAAATTTGCCATACATGTTTTCTGAAAAACTTGGATTTATTGATTATTGTCAACAGGCATTAAACCCTCAAACAAGAGGTTTTTCAAAAAAACAATTAAACGAGAAATTATTCGACAGTATAAACTCGAAAAAAAATCTGGCAAATTTTTTTCTCAATTTTAATTCTCGTGTTACTATTTGTTCTGATATTTGGGGTGAAACATATCATAATTTGTCTTATATGGGTGCTACTTGTCATTGGATAGATAGTGATTGGATTATGCATAAACGTGTTCTTGCATTTCGTGATTTCAATGATTCTTATATTGCTAAAAATATTTTTCTATTGCTTTAGCGTATTCTGCGGGAATACAACTTAGTTGATAAAGTGTTTGCATTTGGTTTTGATAATGCTACTAATAGTACTGTTTTTATTCCTAGATTTAAAGAAATTTGCCCCCTACTACGACTATTGGTAGATTTCTACATCAACGCTGTGCCTGTCATGTTTTAAATTTGTTTGTTCAACAGGGATTAGAAGCTATGTGGGATTTTAATGAATATTAAAAATGGAATTAGAAGGATTTGGGGTAGTCGTCTTATTTCGAATTCCTGGAAGACATTCTGTAAGTCTAAGGGTAGAAGAGCAATATTTGTTGTATCCCACCATGCATCACCAAAGGGTAAGCAAAATCAGGAGTTAATGCTTAATTGTTATAATCCTTATTGGGTTGAATTCATTCCTTCTTTCCATCAAAAATCCCAAACCATAACCCTTGCTGCCCAAAACCCTCCCTAAGCCAAACCATAACCCATAAACCTTCTCTCACAAACATCCAAAATCATTTTATCTGTCCAAATAAAGTCTTTGTTATTCATTACTAAGCCTAGGCCGAAGGTGAACAACAAAAGGCAGAATAAAACCTCTGTTTATTTTTTTTTAGACAGAATAATCGATTATCCAACATAGATAATCGACTATTGCTTCCCTCTGAAATCTACTAACATAATCCAGCAATGCTTCACAATCGATTATCTCCCAATTGATAACCGATTAACACTCATCTCTGAAAATATCCGGTTTGATGAACTAGTCCTTGTCAATCGATTATTCCTGAAGAGTTAATCGACTATTTGACGCCATTGAAAATTCTGGGTTTAGAAAACGTATCTTATTAATCGATTATCAGTAGGCGATAATCGATTATCACACAACCCTGAACTCAGAAATCAGTAAAATGGTCATTTATTGAATAGGAAATGTTTTGTCATTTAGGAACAAACTTGGCAAAGCACCATGGACGAAATTTTCATGTTATTATTCAACAAAATCAAAAACTTTTACAATACAAAACAAAATTTAATCCTTCATCCATGTGCCTGCCCAAAAAGTCTTTGATTGAATAGTAATATCTTGTCCTATTACTCACTAAAAGTCAAGCCATGTTGTTTCCTTTATTCTCCCACCTTAAGGACGAAAATCATACATNTTGAATTCAACTCATTTGGGATATTAACACATGCACAGCATTTGTTTTATTTTGTAGGAAAGAAGTGGGAAGTTTCCTTTGTTGTATTTTATTTATCATGTAATCATGTTTGTTGTATTGTTTTCTCCATTCCCTGGCCTATATATTTCAGCCCTGATTCATTGTATTAATCAGCTTGTAAAATATATATTGTGATAATATAAGTTTCTTGCTCAGTTCTCTCTCTCTCTCTCTAAGTTTTATATATATATATTAAATCCTAATTCTATATCTTAAGAGTGGTTCTCTTAAGTGGGAGTTTTAGGTTCTAGATATATTAAATAAGTTGAGTGATTCCTTATTTAAATACTAGAGTTTAACCCGAGTGAAGATAAGTGTGTGTGATTCCTCTTATTATTCACTTGATAAATGCTTCTTTCCCTTTCCTTCGATTTCTCCTGAATTCAGCCTCCCCTATATTTCTACATCCTTCTCTCCTTCTTCCTCCTCTTAAGTTGATATCCTAGACTACCCTGGGTCTCGGGTACAACATTTGGTATCAAAGCTTTTTGTTGAACATCTCTTTGAGGACCACAAACACTTCCCTCTCATTCTCTGTTTCTCTCCCAATCTTGATCCTGATAGCATTGATAATCGATTATCAAACTCAGATAATCGACTATCTTACCTTGCTGAATTTTCTTCACATCACCCACTACACCCCTCTTTCCCTACACCTGGTTCTTTTAAACCACACAACTCAAAACATGTCCCAAGAAGAGTTTATTGCTTCAAATGCAGAATTGAAGGCTCAAGTTGAATACTTGGCAAAAGAAGTGGCAAAGCTCACTAAATTCAAGTTGAGTATGGTTCAAACTCCCGAAGAAAGTGAAGATGAAGATGATGCTAGTTCTGTTGCTACCTTAAGAGCTAGAACCCCGGAGAAGTCAGCCTCTGATTTCAAAATTGACATGCCCACTTTCGAAGGAAAGAACGATCTTGATGACTTTCTTGAATGGTTAGAGACCGTTGAACGTGTCTTTGACTTCAAGGATGTCTCCGAAGAAAAGAAGGTCAAACTCGTGGCCTTAAAGTTCAGAAAGTATGCGTCAACATGGTGGACCAACGTCACCATTAGGAGTAGGAGAGAAAACAAGTCCCCGGTGACCTCGTGGACCAAGATGCGAACACTCTTGAAGAAGAAGTTTCTGCCCGAGAACTACATACGAGAAAACTTTTCTAAGCTTCAATACTTGAAGCAAGGCTCTCGTTCTGTAGAGGAATACAACCGAGAGTTCGAGGAACTATTATTAAGGTGTGATCTTCAAGAAGATGATTCACAAACTTTTGTGAGGTATCTATTTGGATTGAATGTCCAAATAGCTAACACTGTGGAAATTCAAGACTACCACACTCTTGACGATCTTACAAAGCTGGCTCTCAAAGTTGAAAGCCAAATCAAGAAAGGCAAGGCTGCCCAAATGAGAATCTCCTCTTCAAATCCACCTTTTCTCCCCACCCCTTCATCTCCTTCACCTTCCCCATCTCCTTACTCTCACCATAAACCCATACTTCCAACCCCTCCCTCAAATATCCAAAATCAACCCCGGCACAATCAAAATATCAATCGAACTCTGAAATGTTATCGTTGCCAAGGGAATGGTCACATAGCTCAAGATTGTCCCAATAAGAAGGTCATGACTCTTGTGGAGTGCAATGATGATACTTTTGACCCTTCATGGGATAAAGAAGAAGAAGAGTATGTCGGACCTGATGATGGAGAGTTTTTGGTCATTCGTAGAACTTTAAGTGTGATGGCCTGTCCAAAAGAAGAAATACAACGAGAGAATATCTTCCATACTCGTTGTACAATCAAAGGAAAGGTGTGCTCTCTCATCATTGATAGTGGGAGTTGTACGAATGTTGCCTCTAAGACTATGGTGGATAAACTCCAGCTGAAAACCTCACCACACCTGGCACCGTACACGATTCAATGGCTGAATCATGGTAAAGGGTTACGTGTTGACACTCAATGCTTGGTGTCACTAAGTCTTGGACAAACCTACAAGGATGAAATATGGTGTGATGTGATACCGATGGATGCTTGTCATGTGCTGCTCGGACGGCCTTGGTTGTTCGATCGCAGAGTTCTTTACGATGGATACGCTAACACGTATTCATTCCTCAAAGACAATAAGAGAATCACCCTTACTTCTCTTCATCCTGAAGAAAAATATCCCGTTTATCTGTCAACATTGATACGAGCTGGTAAATCTGAATACATAGATGAAACTCGCCGTGAGATGATAACAACGATTCAAGTCAACCAGCATGTTTGTGGGAACGTCAATGTAAACACAAGAGACCTCAATGATGAATCCAAGCCAATTTATACTCCGAGTTTGAGGTCAAACTCTTTTGAAGACGGGGAGGATGTTGTACCCCACCATGCATCACCAAAGGGTAAGCAAAATCAGGAGTTAATGCTTAATTGTTATAATCCTTATTGTGTTGAATTCATTCCTTCTTTCCATCAAAAAGCCCAAACCATAACCCTTGCTGCCCAAAACCCTCCCTAAGCCAAACCATAACCCATAAACCTTCTCTCACAAACATCCAAAATCATTTTATCTGTCCAAATAAAGTCTTTGTTATTCATTACTAAGCCTAGGCCGAAGGTGAACAACAAAAGGCAGAATAAAACCTCTGTTTATTTTTTTTAGACAGAATAATCGATTATCCAACATAGATAATCGACTATTGCTTCCCTCTGAAATCTACTAACATAATCCAGCAATGCTTCACAATCGATTATCTCCCAATTGATAACCGATTAACACTCATCTCTGAAAATATCCGGTTTGATGAACTAGTCCTTGTCAATCGATTATTCCTGAAGAGTTAATCGACTATTTGACGCC